AGATCTACATAGTGACCACTCCAGCTGTAGGGCCACCATGGATGGGGAAATTTCCATAAGGTTCATCCCCCATATGAAGAGCGATAGGTGGTCAATGGCTGCTGAGAGAGGGAGAACCAGTTTTCTCTAGAAAACAGATCTGAGACTGTCCAATCCCAAGTTGTTAGCCTTGAATACAATCAATGCTAAATGGGACTTAGTACATTGCAGCTGTATGTATTAAACTCATGAATTTGTGAATGAGTGGGAATGAGGTAACACAATAGTTTGAGCAGGAGAGGCTGGAGTAACATAATATAGATGCACTGTTCATATATAAATTATTCTCAGAAAAAAATTAAGGAGTGCTTTTCTCTTTTTTTTTGGACAGGGTCTGACTGCCCAGGCTTCTAATGTGAACCTGTAACAGAGCCAAGAGTGACATTATCTTCCTACCAGAATGCACCAACAAATGCCTCCCTAGTTTAAATGAGTAAAACAAATATACAAACAAAAAACAATCTTACCTATGTTGGATGTGAAGTGATGGTTTAATTCTCTTAAATTTGAAGGAAATAGTCTATTTCCTTTCCTCCCTTTCTCTAAAGGGTAAAAGAAATCACCAAATTACTAAAACTTTGGTAGTTTTAGCTCATTAATGTATTTATTACTTTTCTATTGCTGTTATAAAACAACCTAGGATACTTAGCTAAGAAGGCATTTAGTTTTGCTTACAGTTTTAGAGTTCATGATGACAGAGCAAAGGCATGGTGGCAGGAACAACTGAGAGCCAGGAACAACTCACATCTCACACAGCACACAGGAAATGGCTTTTAAAACCCTAAGCCACTCAATGACATACTTCTTCCAAGGGTACACCTTCCCATCTTTCCCAAACAGTTCCACTAATTGGGGACTAGATATTCAAACATGAATATAAGGGGGTATTCTCATTTAAGCCACATTTTGGGTTTAGGAGATCATTTAAACATGGCTTGGCTTTAAAGATGCATAGAAAGGGAACCTTTGAAATGGAAAAATGAAAACAAAGCAAGATTCCAGTCAGAGTTTCTGGATTTAAGTATATAGTTGGCATCAACTGTCTAGGCAGGTGGTGGGCTTGTCACCCACATGAATATCTGGAAGTATCTGAGCAGCAATGGTGGAATATACAAATAAAATTTTAGGCCAAGATCACATTTAAGTAGGACTACACCTTGGAAGGTTGGTTAGTTTGTTTAAATATGCTTATTTCATAGAGTATTTCTATTTCTCTGAGTTTACTAGCTACTATCCAATGCTATGCTATTTTTATGGAAAACTGATCTTTTAAAAAAGATTCTTTATAACGAATTGGGACTCCAAGGAGGCAATGTAATGAAAACAGAAATGAAATCTAGGGATGACTGGACAGGATGCCCTACACTGGGGCCTGGACATCCACTTTGACAGCAGGAAAGATGAGAACAAATGCAAAAAATATAAATATAGTAACACAAACTAGAATCCTTTTTTGATAGTTTCTATTTTTTTCATTGAAATGGCAATTAAGGTTATTGTATTAGTTTCTTTTCTATTGCTTTGGTAAGACACCATGATCAAAGCAACTTAGATAAGGAAGAATTTATCTGAGGGTTAGGGCTGCAGAGGGTAAGAGTCCATCACCATCATGGCAGGCATAGTGATTGCAGCAGAAAGCAAAGAGCTCATATATAGAACCCCAAGCACAAAGCACAAAGAGGAACTGAGGATGGCGAGAGGACTTTAAATCTCTGAGGACCTGTGTGGTGTGTTGTGCTCATTCAAGAAGCTGAGTATAACCAACTGAAAACCTCCATTTTTTTTTCCTTCCCAGATCTGCAACTAGCTTCAACATATGTCATACAAGGGAAAGATTTAAAATATAAGAGTACCTCCCATAAACTTATCAAAGTAAACTGGTAACATGGCACAGGGGTGCATTAAAATCATGTCAAAATACCAGGACTGACAACTTATCAAAACACACCAGACCAACAAGTGGTGTAACATCCTCACCTGTACTTCAAGAAAAGGACACTAAATATGAAGATGATTATGGCCTCATTGTCTGACATTTCACCATTAAGTGTGTGTGTGTGTCTGTGTGTGTGTGTGTGTGTGTGTGTGTGTGTGTGTGTGTGTGTGTGTGTGTCTGTGTGTGTGTGTGTCTGGGATAGGATTCACAGGCAGGGATCTGACTCTGGGGCTGGGGCTCAGTCCTACTTCTCAGTGCAACCCATTTGAATTTCTGTCCTATCTATTCATTTGTTCACCCATCTATCCAGACCAGCTCTATATCTTACCTTGAAGGTTCTCTATGTAGCTTTGCTTGACCCTGCAATCCTGGGGCTCTGTGTCTCCAGCAGTTCTTCAAATTGTCTAGTCTAGTTAATACTTTATAATACCTGCTCTCTGCCTCCAGTAAGGCCTTCGAACTCTGTGACCTTTGTAGTCATCTGTAATCTCTGTCTACACACACACACACACACACACACACACACACACACACACACACACACACACACACACTGTGTGAAGTCTAATGTGCCATCTGAGAGTTAGTATTCATACTGATGATTGGAATAAAGTAACCTCTGATTGTCAATGGCCAGCTACCAAAGGAAATGGGAATTATTTGACAAACTGCAGCCTATAAAACATTCTGAGTTTACTGTTAATAAATTCTGACACTGTGGAAAGACAAATGTGCTTATATTTCTGGCAGAGCGCACTCACAATATTCTCATTTTAAGACTTTAAACATAATGTGTAGGTCACCTTTATAGTTTCTGCTGCAATCCTTCCTCTAATGCCCCATTTTTAAGTATGGTTAACAAATTAACAGCCTGACTTAAATGTCTACTGGGAAGCTCATATTCATCATGGCCCAAAGCAAACCACTTATTTTCAAACCTTTAAAGCTTAGTTCTGGGGCTGGGAGGATGGCTTAGTGGGTAGGTGCTTACTGTACAAGCACGAGGAAGTGAATTTGGATCCCTGTACTCTAGTAAAGAGCCAGGTGTGACTGTGCATCTGTAGATCCAGAGTAGGGGGGGCAGACAGAAGGATTACTAGAGTTCCCTGGACAACCAGCTTAGCTGAAACAGCTCTAAGTTCAGTGATGAGACTCTGTCAAAAAAGTAAGGTGGATGACTGAGACAGATAGCAATGTCAAGTTTTGGGTTCTAGAGGCATATATTCTCATGTGTGCCTACTTCAACACAAACATTTATATACCACCCTGAAACCAAACCAAAACAACCCAAAGCCTCAAGTCAAATCAAACTAATCAAGCAATAAACCAAACAAAATCATACTTCACCCTATACCCTCTTTTCTTTAGGCTATTACAGTATGGGTCTCTTTACCTTTGTACCCTACCCATTATGATCTATTTTAAAACATACTTTACTCTTTTTTTTTTTTTTAGAATAATTTTAGGCTTTCTGTAGTCCATTTTATAACATCTACTGAACTTTTAAGTGAATAGAATTCTACTCAACAGTTTCATCTTGAAACTCTTGAGTATTCCAGGTTGCTGCAATAATCTCATGCTCTTTGTGAGGCAGCATTGTAAACTATCTTTAAAAATCGTGTGTGTGTGTGTGTGTGTGTGTATGTGTGTGTGTGGTGGGGTCAGAGGACAACTTCATGGTGTTAGGTCATAAAACATTGCTCTCCCTTCTCCACCCCCCCATGACAGTGCTAATGACAATGTCCTAAAATGATGGCCCAGGACATAGTCCAAACTAAATTCTTAGCAGGTAAAGAGAAGGATTATTAATTGGGTAAACAGAGCCTAAACTAAGCATTCCTCAGAGACGTCTTTCTAGTGGCTTAGTCCAGTGGTTTCACTGTGATTTGCTTGCATGTAGTGTCAGTTCTCTCCTCCCACCTTTACTGTTGATTTAGGGGAACTGGACTGAGGTTGTTGGGCTTGTGCACAAGCACCTTTACCCACTGAACCTTGTGACTGGTCCATAAAAACTTCCTTAAAGGGCCAGAGAGGAAACATTTCAGGTTTTATAAGCCACATGAATTCTAAATGTGGCATGTGCTAAATACATATATGTAAGATTCTATACTACTGTGTCCTTCCGAAACCACTGTATTATTTGGAATGTTCATTAAATTAATAAAAAAAGGTATTTTATTTGATTTATAATGCCTTTTTTTTTCTTTTTCTTTTTGGTGTGTGTGTGTGTGTGTGTGTGTGGTGTACACATATATGCTTCTGTGTATAGGTATGTGTCCACACAGAGGCCAGAGGTCAGCATCTCATGTCTTCCTCAATTACTCTATCTCTCAGTGAACCTGAAGATTTCTGATTTGGCTAGTCTGGCTGGCCAGTCAAGCCCTAGAATGCCCTCTTCTCAGTGCTGATGCATACCACCATACTTAGCTTTTTACTTGAGTGCTGGGGATCTGAATTTGGGTCTTGATTGTACAGCAAGCACTTCAATCACTGAGCTGTCTCATCGGTTCCATGCTTAATATTTTATAGTAGTTCAATAAATATTTTCTGAATAAAAATATAACATCCAGACTTACACTTTTAGTTGTGTAATATGTGCATGCATGTGTGTTTGTCTATGTGTGAAGGCAGAGGGGGTAACCATGGGTGTCATCTACTTTTTTTTTTTTTTTTTGACGGTCTCTCATTGATTAGGAACTAAATAAGTAGGCAAGGATGGCTGGCCAGTGAGTCCAAGTATCTTTCAGTATCTTGATGGTAGTGCTTTTTTTTTTTTTTTTTTTTTTTTAAATGTGGGTTTTGGGGATCTAATTCAGATCCCCATGCTTGCTAGTGCTTTACTGGGAGAGCAAACACCCCCTCTTCAGAATTCTACATTAAACAAACAAACCAAATACAGCAGAACAATAAACTGCAGGTTTAAATGATTTCTTCTGTGAAATATCAATTCTTAAACAATTATTAATAGTAAACTTACTTTTTATTGCTGATTTGTAAAACAAATATCAAGCAATAGTGGACCTACTTTAGACTGCTGATCCTCATTTCTGCACTTTCAGTAAGTTTCTTTGTTTCTTCTTTCCACCTATTGGCTGCCTTTTGTTGAGCTGCCAACAGATGCCTCAGTTCAACAACGGAATTCCGATTACTGTCCTCCATCTCTCTCAACTGAACTTCAAACCCATGTTCCTTTATTGAGAACTGATGCTCCATCGTACTGACCTAAGGAATAAAAGGAATAGTTACTTTCCTCTCAAGATTCTAGGAGCTATGCAGCCAATGTCATACACAAAAAAGAATAATCTATTGTCCTTAAGAGATTTAGAAACCTCTGGGTGAGGCATCCAAGTAAGCAGTTAAGCTTATAATTTGTCTCCACCACAAATGAAATCTATGTATACTTTAGTGTGTGTGTGTGTGTGTGTGTGTGTGTGTGTGTGTGTGTGTGTGTGTGTGAGAGAGAGAGAGAGAGAGAGAGAGAGAGAGGTGTTAAGAGAGAGAGAGAAGATCACAACCACAGCTGACCTGAGGTTGTGTGAGCTCAGGGACTCTAGCCCAACAGCTGAGGAGCCTGCATGGGACCTAACTAGGCCCTCTGTATGTAGGAGTTGTATAACTTGAGTCTGTTTGAGGGGCCCCTGGCAGTGGGACCAGGATCTGTCACTGGTACCTGAACTGGCTTTTTGGAACCCATTCCTTATGGTGGGATGCCTTACTCACCTTGAAGCAGGGTGGGGGGAGGGGCTTGGCCGTGACAACTTAATGTGTCAGGCTTTGTTGACTACCCATGACAGGCTTTAGAGGAGTGGATGGGGTGGGCTTTGGGGAGATAGGGTGGAGCTGGAGAAGGGGAGAGAGAGAGAACTGTGGTTAGAATGATTGTCATGTTCTACTAATTAGTACTCTGAGTTATGACTTTGTATTATTTGATAAGAAGGTGCACACATGAGTACACGAGTACACACACACACACACACACACACACACACACACACACACACACACACACACAGCCTGAAGAATGTTTCACTAGAAATATAATGAATATTCTCTATATCTTGATCTTGCAAAGAATACATCTAACTCATTTTGAAAATACCTTTAATTTTGCTTTTTTTTGGGCCTCCAGAGCAATTTTTCTTAAATCCTCAGTCTCTTTCTGTAGTTGCTCATTTTCTTGCTGGAGCTTCAGCCTTTGCTCACTGACAAAGCCACAGTTCTCTCTCTCAGACTCCAGTACAGTTTGAAGTTTCTGGATCATTTCATGGGACCGTGATATCTCTTCTGAAGAACTTTTTTTAAAAAAATGAAACAGAACACAAAAGATCAGGACGTGTACATTTTATAATTTAGACTTCTGTTTTCTTTATTCTGAATCACTTCATGGTGTGGAATATTGACCCCAGGGTTATAATCACAGCTTTCTTTTTCCTTTAGACTAATGTGGTTTCAAAATGTACATAATACCAGGTAAACACATTTAATTTAACAATGCAAGTAAGCTGACCTGATTTAGAAAATCAACATGGAATTTCTTCTATTTTTTTCCATTAATGTTGAGAATAGTTACATCAAGAGAACAATGTGAATGCAATAGTGAACGGATGAAGCAGCTGCTAATCAAACTTTTACTTAATGTTAGTACCATAGAGAAACACAACTGTCCACCTTACAAGTTAAAGTAAAATCTATCTGCATATCTCCTGTTATATGATTTAGAACTAGGCTTTATACATTCAAATTCTCTAAGCTTATTTTAGCACAGGCTAATAGGTTATTTTCTCAATGAATTATTAGATCAGGCATTCTTTAAACATTTATGTTTCAATCAATATACTGCTAATTTTCATTCCTATTTTCTGAAATTTCCATCTTTCAATTCCAGATAACCAATCATTCTGAACATACTCTGGTTTCCAGGTTTCACAGGAAATATGTAAATGCTACTAATATTATGATGGCTTAATTAGAAATATTGCTGGGCATAGTAGTTTATGCATGTTATCCAAACACATGGAAACCTGTGGCAGGAAGAGTGCATTGACTTTGAAGCCTGCCTGGGCTACAGAGTAAGTTCCAAGCTAGCATGAAACCTAGAAGCAAAATAAAAATCCAAACATCTCAATTATTGGTTAAATAGTAACTTACAAGGAGAGAAATTCTTAATATGCACAAATAGTTTTTACTACCATAAACCATAGCTTATAGTTCTATTCCAACCCTAACTTCCCCATTGCTTATGATTGCTTCTGAACTTCATCTTTGTCCTGTTTATACTTTTGCTTTTCTAGTTCTTCCCATATTCTTCTAAGTTTTAAGTTCAATATAAAATCATTCATTTCTATACATATGGTTTTAACTCTATATAAAGCATTCATTCCTATAACACATGTAGCTGTTTCTTTTTAATAGTAACGTTCCAAAAATCAACTTCCCAATGAAATAGTATACACAGGCATTGGTCATAAAAGGGCAATAGTATCAACAGGTTTCAACAGAAGCAACCATGTGTGTGCCTCCTAACAGAAGTCCATAAATGTACCACCACCACCACCAGCAGCAGCAAAGCAGAAGAAAGATCACTAGAGATTAATAGAAACTTGAGAAACAGTGAAATTAGCATTTCTGAAACTAGAAGTAGGCTAGAGCATGCACACTCAAAAGGAATCCCCTGAATGAAGTGATCATAAGAAAGAATTTATCAAGGATAGACTGAGGACACACAGACAGCTCCCACTGCTTTCCCATGGGTTGTTGAGTACATAAGAAATGATGCTGGAGAGAAGCACATGGCTGTGGAGAATTTCTGAAAGCTTTGGGATCTCCCATTGTCTCATCAAAGCAAAAGAGCTACACTAGGAAGAAGTCTACTAATATAAAGATGGACTAGCACTTGTCCTTTATGGAACACTTAAAATTCTAAAAAGATGATTTTACATGTTAGAAACAGGGAAAGCTGCTTTTTACCCATTGCTTACAACCCATATGTGGCACATGAAAACAGACAATGAGAATGAATCCACACTGAGAATTAGTGTGGAAGTATGCAAAATGGGAAATTCTTTAGATAAATTTCACTCCATAATTTTTAAAGGATTCACATAATAAAAAAAAAAAAAAGCATCATTATATAATGTGGTGGTTTGGAGGAGAATGGTCTCCATAGGTTCATATATTTGAATGCTTAATCCTTAGTTGGTAAACTGGTTTGGGAAGGATTAGGAGGTATAATAGTTTTGCTGAGGAGGTGTGTCACTAGGGGTATACTTTGAGATTTCAAAAGCCCACCAGGCCTAGTTAGTTCTCTCTCTACTTCCTGACTGTGGATCAGGATATAGCTCTCAGCTATTATTCCAGTGCTATGCCTGCCACCAGGATTCCCATGATGATGATCATGAACTAACTAACCCTGGGACACTGTAAGCAAGACCCCAATTAAATGCTTCTTTTCTAAGTTGCCTTGGTCATGGTGTCTCCTCACAGCAACTAAAGCATTAATCAAAATAAGTCTTAAAATGCTGTCTTCTGTTTATACTGATGGAAAAACCTGATGCATGTCAAGAATACTAGAAAGACTTTATATATCAACTATGCACCTTAATATACACCAACAAATTCAGAGACAAACTAGCGTTTACAAATGTTTAACCAGACTAATTCAAAGAAAGAGAATGCTGTGTTTCTGTTATCATTCAATTCTAGAAAACTTTCTACATCTGTCCTGATTTCTTTGATGACGCATGAAATAATGTTCAATTTCTCTGAGTTTGTATATCCTCCAAAGATCTAATTAATAAAATTAAAGTTTAAAAAGGAAACAATATGGTAGAATATTATTTTAAGGTGTGTGACTTCTGTTCATGTGAAGCTGTGATCCTTTGCCTTTCTAAAGCACCTGATGGTCTATAAAGCGCTGAATGGCTAATAGCAAAGCAGGAGCAAGGATAGGCAGGGTTGGCAGACAGAGAATATAATTAGAAGGAGAAAAAAAAAAGGAGGGGGAGCAATGAGAGAACAAGGGGAGGAGGACATCAGCGGCCAGCCACCCAGCCAACCAGGGAGTAAAAGTGAAAGATACACAGAAGACAGAGAAAGATGAAAGCCCTGAGGCCAAAGATAGATGGACAATTTAAGTTAAAAAAGGCAGGCAAGAAACAAGCCAAGGTAAGATTGGGTATTCATAACTAAGAATAAGCCTCCATGTGTGATTTATTTGAGTGCTTGGTGGTGGGTACCCCCAAAAGAGACAAGACAACAATAAACACCAATAAAACTTAGAGCTTCCCTATTTTGAAAAATCTATGTTCTAATGAATTGGAAATATCTAGAAAAATTTCTAGAAGTGACCTACCAAAATTAAATGGTGTTAGATAACTAGAATAGGTCTGTAGTAATGGAAATGTATTAGTGATAAATTTTTTCTCAATTAAAAATATGAATGAATTCTATAGAAATTTAAAGAACCAACACCAATGTTCCTCAGTCTACTTCATGAGATGGAAAGGGAAAGAATGGTACTAAATTTATTTACAAAGTCAGTATTACCCTGATATTAAAACCATTTAAAGACATAACACAAGGAAAAATTGTAGGATAATTTTCTTGCTGAATAAAGATCTAAGAAGTCTCAATGAAATACTTGCCAACTGAATTCAACCACATACCAAAAAGAACATTCAACATGACCAACTCAGCTTCATTTTAGAATGAAAAGCATGATTCAACATGTATATCTACATATGTAATACATTACGATTATAGATTCAAGAATGGAAATAATGTAATCAACTTGATAGATGCAGAAAGGCCTTCAACAAAGTTCAATATCCCTTGATAAAAACCCAAAGAAACCAGGAATTCAAGGATCACACCTGAACATAATAAAAGCTACCCACGATAAAATAGCCAACGTTATAGTAAATGGGAAAAGGCTTCATGCATTTCCTCAAAAATCAGGAATGAGACAAAGTGTCAGCTCTTTCCACTTTTACTCAATGTAGTGATTGGAGTCTTAACTATAGCAGTAACACAAGAGAAAGTAATAAAAAGGATATGAATAGAAAAGGAAGACACCTAGTTATTTCTATTTGAAGAGGTATGATGTCATACAAAAGGGAACCTAATAACTAAACACAAAACTTTTTAGAATTGATAAATACTCTGAACAAAGCATAATGATACCAAACATCAATATAAGAAACAAGTAGCTTTCTTAATATACCAATACATAACAAATACTGAGAAAAACATAAGGGTAACAATCTCTTAAAATAAAAAAACCTTATTAATATGGCTAAGCAAGGAAGCCAAAGAACTCTACAATGGAAAATATAAAATTCCTGAAGAAACTGAAGATACTAGAAGATAGAAAAAAAAAAAAATCCTTTGCATCTCTATTCACAATAGCCAAGAAGGAAATTGACCCAGCCTTGTTGTTCACCAACAGATGAATGGATAATGAAAATATACATAAATACAGTAGTATTTCATTCAGCAATAAAGAAAAATGATTATCATATTTGCAAGAAAATTGATGCAACTAGGAATCATCATCCCAACCCAAATAAGCCAGACCAAGATAATTATTACTATATGTATATATGGTGTTATGTGAGATAGAATAGAATTCTGAGGGTGTTAGGAAGATATCTTAGGGGAGGGAGAGGAAAGCAGAAATGGGGTACTATTTAGTGGGTGCAAAGGAAACCAACCATAGGGTAGGAAGGAGACATAGAGGAGGGCAGTTGTGGGAAGGGAACAATTTACAAGATTATGACTCATGAGTATGAAAATGCCATCACTAAATGCATTATTCTGTATTCCAACTTAAAAATTAATAAAAATAGAAATTATAAAAAGAACATATTTGGCTGTTTTTATAAGTTCTATAAAAAGGTAAATAATTTATGAAACGTCATGTGAATACTTAAAATGTCAACATAGTAATTCCACAAGAAAACTTACTTAATTTCAAGTTGTTTTATTCTATTTTCTGCACTCTTTAGTCTTAGCTGAAGATCATCTTTTGAGCGTTCTGCAGCAAGACATCTTTGGTGCATTTCTTCCAGTTTTCTGTAGTCACCTTCATCCTGCTTGCCTTCACGGTAAATCTGAGGAAGAGGCTTATAAACATTACCTTATATGAAGAAATTATCTCAATAAATAAATAATGCTGAGAAATAAAGTCATGTCTGTGTGTTCATCTCCTCCTACATGCTATAAACTGATAGCTAAAAAAATCTGAAATCATGCACACTGTAAATTATTCAACTAATACAGAAATGTAAAACAGCTGCTGAAAATTTTAAAACATGCTTTAACTGTCAATTTAAAAACAACTAGTGATAGGGCTGGCTATGTAGCTCAATGGTAGAGCCCTTGCTAACAGTGTACAAAGCCCCGAGTTTCACCAAAAAACATCAAAAAAAGAAGAAAGCATAGTAATTATTTGGTGAATCTTCTTCAAGAAAATCTACCGAAATACTCAAAAGTAGAGTGTGTTTTAGTGTAACTAATAGTTCCTGAAATTCTAGAACACTGCTCTGAGTTACTTGGGCAACATAGCTAAAATTTGAGTTATCTTTGTTAGGGGTAGTTGGTCAGCTAGAGCCTGGGTTTCCTTTTATAGTAGGCCCTAGCCTACTCCCTAGGACCAAAGGTCCAGGTCACATTTTCAGACAAATAGTTCATCTAACTGCCACATATGATGTCCCCACTAGAAAGACTGCACCACCTTTCCCATAGAGGTGGAACAGCAGTATGCATTGTAGTTCTACAGTGCTATGGCCTTGGCTAACTGCTGTGTGGATAATGAAGAACTGTTTAATGTGTCTTCTAAGTTTTGCACTGCACTAATATATGTCATGCGATATTTAAAAAAATCATCCTGAACCCTATATATAGCTGGTAGCATTCTAAATAGAACTTACATGACATGAAGGAAATCTAGAAAGATATACCTTTAGAAGGGTGGCCGGCAAAAAGTGTCTACCTTGGAACAGATGTGCATATGCTTATTTATTTCCCCAAATGAAGCCATATTCTAGGTTTTATTTTGTAAATTACTGTTTTAATACCCAATTTCGTCATTATTTTTGACAACATACTTTGAATGTCATGGAGTTTGCCTTTCAAAGTCAAATCCTGACTTCATTATTTAGTGTTTTTAAATAGTGTGTAAGTTACTTAGCCTTTCTATGCAAGTTACTAACATAGCACTTTAAACATGGTAAGTGCTCATATTTGGTTGCCCTTTCTTTCTCAAGGCATTTTTAAAACAGTGGGATATTCATTCACTGCTAATGAAAAAGCATACACCTATTCTTTAAGATGTAGTTTTTATTTCAAACATCATTGGGGTATTTTATCTAATCATATTCTTTAAAAGTATTTTCTTATGTGTATGAGTGTTTTGCCTGCATGTAGGGCTGTGTATCTTATTGAATGCCCAGTGCCCATAGAGGTCAGGACAGGGCACTGGATACCCTGGAGCTGGAGATACAAATGGTCGAAAGCCTACACATGGATGTTAGGAAATGAACCCGGTCTCTGGAAGAGCAGCCAGTTCCCTTAACCATTGATATCTCTAGCCCCCTAGTTACTATCTTCTTTAAAGGTAAAATTCTGAGGCAGAGAAATAACTCAGTAAACTAGTTGTTGTATAAATAACCACATAAAAGCTGGCTATGGAGGCATGTGCTTGTTATCCCAGCTCTAGGGTAGCAAAAATTTGTGTTATTTCTGTGGTTGCTGGCCAATATCCAGCTGAGTTGGTAAGCTATAGATTCAGTGAGGCACTATCTCAAAAAATAAGGTTAACCTCTGGTCTCTGTAAACACATGCACATATGTAAACCTGCACACACACACACACACACACACACATATATATAAACACATACATACATACACAAAGGTAAAATTCATAGCAATCCTATGGTATCTTGGTTGTATATATCTATTATACCCTAGTCTAATATTAATAAATTGGCATAAAGTTAAAAAAAAAAAGAAAACAAAATGAAAACTACTTTTGGAATGAGGCTAGAGCAATAAATATATTTAAGAAAGTTATACCTTGAACTACAAAGTTCAAAAAATACAGGTGTTCTTAGAAAGAAATGGATGTAGGTGATATGAATACTTAAATGAGACTTCAGCTATATTTGAGCAAACATATTACTCAGCATACTTATAAGGCCAGTGTGAGCAAAGCAGGCAGCAATGGAGAAGCCTGCAGTTGCCTTAGGGCAGGTGTACTTCCTTCTTACCTTCTCAAGTTCTTCTTCCACAGCTCTTTTCCCTCTAATGGCTCGATCGATTTGACCCTGCTTTTCATCGCAGTCCTATAAAATGAAGTCATAATGCAAACAAATGTATCTGGTGAAATATTAAAGTGAGAAAAAATGGAAAAGTAAAATGGTTTGTTTATAACAAGAATATTACAGTTACCTCATCAACTAAGTAAGCTCATAGAGTATTTGTATAAGTTCACAGTACTTACAACTAAAGAGAAATACTGGGCATAGTAACTGTTAACCTTCAAAAATGACTTATCCCAGTTTTTCAGAAATTGCTTTTGCCTCTAGGATACCAAGGAATTAACAGAATAAGTAAGAGGCAGAGGCTGGGATACTCAAGGAAGAAAAAAAAAAAAATGAGCTTGTTTTTGGGGGATGTTACACATTCACTTTTCATATAATATTACCAAATTGTCTTGCAAAAGGAACCAGATAGTGTCACAATATCCCAAGGAAAACATCTGGCATGAAAATTGTAGAATTCTAACATTTTTTTTTTTTAACAAAATACTCAACAGGAAATCTATTAGCATGAGGATAAAATATTAAAACATTTATGCTTAAAAGACTGTGTCTTTTAATATTCAGTATTAACAAGTATATCAACTAATCAATACAATAATTTTGCCAAAATACTAAAAGCAAAAGAATCAACCAGTGAGTTCTTCATAATTATTTTCCTACTTATTTGAGAATAATCAGTTTTATTGTGAACATGCTTTGTTGACAGTATACCACTAATGAGATTCATTTTTTTTATCATTATACAAAAGGCCTACCTCAGTGTTTCTAAAATTTAAAGCAAGCTTTAAATTGTGACCCAGAAATGATTACTCTGAACCCTGTTACAAATAAGGGATTTTTAAAAAATAAGACTCAGTTTATAGACATGTTTGTATAAGTCATTTGTAATGTCTTATACTTATTCACATATGCCATAAGGTACTTATGTATAAAAGGTTTTCTTTTCCTTTTTTTTTTTTTTTTTGGAGAGGGTGTTTTTCAGTTTCACTACATGGCCCAGGCTACTTTCAAACTTGAACTCATGACCATTCTGTCTCTCTGCCTGCTAAGTGGTAGTTTTATGATGTTAAACTAGTAACTACTTCTATGTTCATAATGTCATTCATGTAACTTTAATATATGTGTGCTGCTTAGTCTTTGTCAATTTGATAAAACTAGAGTCATCTGGAAAGGAGACTGCTCAACTGAGAAATTTTCTCCATCAGACTAGCTTGTGGGCATGTCTACGGGAACACTTTCTTACTTAATGACCAACAAACTGTGGGTAGTGCTACCCTAGGCTGTATATGAAAGCAGGTGGAACAAGTCATAAAGAGCCAGTAATCAGCATTTCTCCATGGTCTCTCCTTCATTTCCTGCTTCTAGGTTCTTCCTGTGAGCTCCTGCCTTGATGTGCCTGGAAGATGGCCTATAACCTATAAGTCAAAATAAAAACCTTTCTTCTTAAGTCTTTTTTTTTTTTTTTTTTTTTTTTTTGGTCAGTGTTAGCAATAGAAAGTAAACTAGGACAATATGTTAATTACAAAGTTGGTTTATACTTCTAGATCCAGGAAGTGGTCTATAAAAGAAAAGAATAACTATATATGTATGGACGCCCCTATGTAAGTCACTATATTTCACTGACGTCAAGAAGTATCCAACAGTATTTGGTTAACCAGAGTTAAAAATGGGTAAAATGAAACAGTAGAGTTGAAATATTTATAATTACCATGCTATTATACTAGTTTTATTAAAATGCACTATGGTATTAAATTGAACATTATACATATTTATTAAAAGCTTTGCTCATAATCATTGATACACCTGCTTTTGGAGGTAAATGAACTTTTCAAATATTTGTGAAATATTTCTAAAATCATATTTTATAAAGGGTTAGCAAATATTAAAACTGATAGCACAGAGGCCCACACTCACCAGCCCCTATTCAAACAAAATAGAGATCATTTAAAAAAAAAAAAAAAAAAAAAAAGAAAAACCAAAATGCCTACATCTCTTCATTTGGAGACTCAAAAACTGCTACATATTTCTTAGAACTACCTGTCTTTGCTGTATTCTACATACAGGTTCTGACAAGATGGGACTTTAACATGCATTACACTCTAGAAAGCTTTAAACTTCTATGGCTTCTTCAGTGGTGTATGTCTTACATACCTGCAGTTTTCTGTAGTTTCCCTTGCTATGGATTTATAGACTTATAATCTTATGACTTAATAAATAATAAGAAATACATCAATTTTGTATTTTTTAAGAGTTGCCTTTTGGACTAAACGGTGATCTATTTTAGAGAAAACTCCATTGGCTGAGAAAGTGCACTACCTAATTTATAGTGTAGTTCAACATGAAGTTACTTTACTGAATTTTAGTTCTGAAGACTTAACATTGATAAGAAAGAAGTAATGAAGTCTTCCATTATTATTCTATCGGTACCAAATTGTACATTTGATGTCAGCTTATAAAACTGGAAGTCCTGTTCCTTTACTTATTTTACAGATAATTTCTTCCCTTTATTAATATGAAGTGGCCTCCTTTATACCTCCTATGTAATTTTTCCTTGAAGGCTATTTAGGCCAGATTTGATTATGGCACATTCTGCTTATTTTTGGATTCCACTCACTGGTTAAATCAATTACCCTCTTTCAAGGTCGGTCTGCCTTTGTCAGTAAGGTGAGTTTCTTAATGAAATTTACAGCTAGTCTGCATCATTTAATTGGAGAAGTATAACTACTTCATTTAGGGTTATTATTATTGCCTTGCTGACTGTTGTAATTTTGTTAGTTGTTTTCTAATTGGTTTGACCATCACTATTTTCTTTGTCCTGATTCACATGATGATCTTTGGTGGTTTCCTGAGTTGGACATGGCTAATTCTTTCCTACTTACTTGTTTATTCCTCTTACAAATTTCACTCTTTACTTTGTTTTCATGAGTGAGGTTTTTCCTCCTCTAAGTACAGGTCTCCTTTTAGCATCTTCTGCAATACTGTCTTGGTGGTCATGAACTGCTTTAGTTTGTCTTTGTCATGAAAGGTCGTTATTTCTATATCAACTTTAAAATGTACATTTGCTAGATACAGTAAAGCTGACTGTCAGTTACTCACTTTCAGCGTCTGAAACAAAGTTTAATGCTTTCCTGACCTCCAGCATTCCTGATAAAATGTCTTCTTATTTAGATTATCAATTCTACATAGCTTAGAATAATCTTAAATTTATGGTCCTCCTGATTTACCTCCAGAGTATTGGGTTTACCTAATTTACATGGTGCTCAAGGTTTCCACATATTAGGTATATATTCTACCAACTAGGTTACACCCTCATCCTAGAAATATCCATATTTTTAAAAATATCTTTAATTAGACAGCATAATTTTCCCATAGAATAAATGTGATATTAGATGCTACATATCTTTAGAAAAAGAAAAGAGATACCACAATAGAGGGAGCCATTATAGGTTTTAAGAGAATATGGCACTAGGGAAATGTTCAGAGATCTACAAGGATGAACCCAATTAACAATCTAAGCAATAGTGGAGAGGCTACCTTTAATGCCCTTCCATGATAATGAGATTGATAACTACCTTATATACTATGCTAGAACCTATATCCAGTAGCTGATGGAAGCAGAAGCAGACACTCACAGCTAAACACTGAGCCAAACTCTTGGAATCCAACTGCAGACAGGGAGCAGTGGTGAGCAAATGGGTCAAGACCAGGTTGGAGAAAGCCACAGAAAGTGCTGACCTGAACAAGGGGGAGCTCATGGACTCCAGTCTGATAGCTGGAAAACCAGCATAGGATTGACCCAGATTCCCTGAATGTGGTGTTAGTTGGGAGGACTGTGCAGTCTATGGAGCCTCTGGTAGTGGATCAGTATTTATCTCTAGTATACAAATGGACTTTGGGAGCCCATTCCACATAAAGAGATACTCTCTCAGCCTAGACACATAGGGGGAGGGCTTGGGCCCTGCTCCAAATGATGACAGACTTTGTCATAGAGGGCCTCACCCTCCCTGGGGAGCAGAAAGGGGATGGGATGAGTGTTGGTGGAACAGGGGAGGACAGGATGGTGTGGGAACTGGGATTGACATGTAAAATTTAAATTTAAAAAATTATATAAATAAAAAAAGGTTAAAAAAAAAGAAATCACTCAGATATAAAAGTGTATGATAGATAGCACAAAGCATATTTGTTATATTATGAAATTGCCAAAAGTTTTTATAATCTAGTGAGTTTTATATAGATTTGGTTGTTATACCATTGTTTTAAGGATCCCTAGTCTTAGATAGTCCTCATTCTTTTTGGAAAACAACAAAAATATTTGTTTTTATATCATTTACAATTCATTAAAGTGATTTTTGATATTGGTAAAAAGACATTTTGCTTTTCTTTCACAAAGATGTAGGATTTTTTTTTGATAATCAATGAAAGAGAACAAGCAAAATAAGTTACAATTTTATATGGTCAATAGGCCATGCTGAATCCTTTTGGTTTTACAAATTGCTCCTACTTCAGTACTACAAGTGAAACTAAGTAAGCAGAGAGTAAGTAACTGGTTGTTACATCCAGGACATCTACATGATGATTAAAGTCCAGTAATACACTCTACATGATGTGTAGCCTTTTAGAGGATTTAAATATTCTGTTGATAATTATTTACTTTAAAATATACTGTGCAAATACACAGTGCTAGGCAATAGGGAACAGTAAGGATGACAGTAGACTCTTAATTTGGGGTGCTACAATCTATTTGGAGATATTTTGCTGGAAAGAACATGGTTGGAAAATGGTCATGTATTGAACATACACTAATGCACAACATTTATTAGAATGCACAAAATACTGAAAAATTTTATAACAGATTAAAAGTGATGTAAAGATTCAGAAAACATGTATGTTTGTGAAGCTGTAAGAATCTTCCTAATTCCCAAATAATCTTGTGTTTTGATCTTTTGGGAAGAGTCATTACATTTCATCTCATTAAATCTTCAAGTAAATTTAAAATTCCAACAATCTAGTCATATGAAAACTTGTTTTCTCACTGTCCCCCTTTGTCTACTTATTCTTATTTATTTATTTGTAGGAAGCTTTACTGTCTTTTTTCTTTTCTACTGACATACATAGCTTTTCTTCCTTCCTGGTCTTCCAGATCAGCCCAATATATGGCAGGAGCTGCAGCTGGTTGGTTTAGTGGCCCTATGTGCTCCCAAGGGCAAATGAAATGTGATGAATGCCACCTGTCCTACTTTACATACCACACGACAAAGACAGCATAAAACATTTCTGTGGATTTTTATACTATACTAGCACCTAGCATAGGTCATTCTTAAAAAATGTGTATGGAGTTCTCTAGACCTTTCTTTGTGTTCAATTTTATCTTCAAACCAATATTGGCTCCCTCTTTTATGTTCTCTCTGTGTCTCTGTCTCTCTCTCTTTCCTGTCTTCTATCCCTAACCAGGATCAATCTTCCTGGTCGCACATGTTTTCCTTTCCTCCCCCTTGTTTTCTCCTACTTCTCTCTCCATTGGCTGCCCCCCCACTTCCCCTGAGCTCTAGGGGACTTGTCCCTTCCCAGTTCTGTGAGGGACTTTATATGAATCTCTTAGAATACACCTTGTATCCTAGTTCCTCTGGTGGTGTGAATTATAGGTTGGTGATCCTTTGATCTAAAATCTAAATCCATATATGAGTGAGTACATACTGTGTTCCTCTTTTTGTGACTGGGTTACCTCATTCAGGATGGTTTCTTCAAGTGCCATCCACTTGCCTGCGAATTTCAAGATACCATTATTTTTTTCTGCAGAGTGGTATTCCATTGTGTAGATGTGTGAGAATATGGGTCTCAGCCAGAAGGACTGAGCAGTCTAAGGGACCTCAAACAGTGGAGCCAGGATGTATCCCTGGTGCACAAAAGGACTTTGCGAACACATCCCCCATGGAGGGATAACTACCTTAATCTAGAGACAGGAGAGAAGCCCTAGTCCCTACTTCACATGACCTGTCAGACCTACATGCCCAACTGGATGGCATTTCCCTACATATGGATGGGAGGGGAGGGTGGTTAGAGTGCATGTGAGAGGGCAGAGAAGGTAAAAGGGAGGAAAGGAGGAAGGGAGGAAGGGAGGGAGTGAGGGAGGTTGAAAGGGAGGGAGGGAGAGGGCACTGGGATCGACATGTAAAATAATAAATTAAATTAAAAAAAAATGCTTTGACTTCAAACTTTAAGTGCAACAAGTTACTGGGGAAAAGGATTTCTATTTTTGTTTCCACAGAAAATGAAAAGATGTGGGTTCCTTCCAAACTAATGTGGTTTGATCAAGTCAGACCACCTGAAACAGTATCAGATGATCCTACATTCAAAACAGCTGGACAAAGCAGCCTTACAGACTACAGCCAGGATTTCTGAATCTTCCTCAAATCCCCCATGACAGCGCCCCTTACCAGCAGGAAGTAGTTTGGAAAGAACGACGCCCAAATTCCCAAATATTGTCTATAAATGTTTGTTTTCATTTAAATGGACTTGGTTATATAAAATAAATAAATTAAAAAAAGTGTATGGAACAAACAAATTTGCAATAACCTACATACTGTTCTTGAAAGCAAGTAATATTTAGAGGAAAAAAATAACGATTTTTAGCATACCATCTGAAGAGCAGAAAGTTCTTCCCTTAATTGTGAAATCAGTATTTCATACTGTTTTTTTGTGCTTTCAACCTGTGAATTAAGACATAATTTAGGTAAATAACAAAAAAATGATTACTGACAAAAAATTTAGCACACTTTCATTAAAAAAACAACTTACATGGCATAAAAGATAAGTAGGCATATAATATATGAAATATCTAGGAATTTGTAATGATCTGTATGTAGTGAGTTCATTCTGGCTGTACTATATAGTGAGTTCAAAGCTACCCTAAGTCACACGACAAATCATAAGGGCCTATATAGTGAGTTCAAAACTACCTTAAGTTACACAACAAATCATATGGGCCGGGCTAGACCAGACCAGACCAGGCCAGGTCAGGCCAGGTCAGGTCAGGTCAGGTCGGACTGGACCGGGATGGACTGGACCAGATCAGACCAGAGGACTGCACTTGTGGCATTGGTTTAGTATACATAAGGCTTCAGAATCTTCAAAATAAAAAATGGTCATGAGAATTGAAGATAGAATTGGATGATATATTTAAAACAACAATGGCAGTAAAGCATTTTGGTTTCAGGATCCTTTCTCACTGTAAAAACAGAACTTCTGTTTATAATGGGTTCTTTGACTAGCATTTTACCATTATTAGAAATAAAAGCAGAAAAACCTAAAAGTTTTATCATTATGCCCTTATATAATTTAGTCATTACCTTAGACAAAATAAGTAATTTTTAATATAAATAAATATGTTCTCACAATCTAAAATTTTTGTATATTTACTGAATGTCTGGCTCAAAGGTGCTGGTGCACCCCCCTGTTGTGCTGTTCTATGTCACACAGCCTCCAGAAGTGAGAGAATGAGTGTGAAAAGCAATGTCTACAGACTCCCTGACTGCAAAATGTCAGAGAACAAGGAAGAAAAAAGAACAATCACACGCTGGATATGCAATTAATTTTTAAAGCAGTTATGTTCTCTATAAAGTATCTTTTCACAATATATACTAGACACTAGTGCTAAGTAAATGTGTTCAAGGAAAATTTGAATAAACATTGAGATTTTCAGAAAGAGTACAACTGGTGTGCCCAGAACATTTTGAAGATTTAAGATGCCTTTGATAATCATTTTTCTTAAGAGCTTCTAAGGGTTTTATAAAGGACTGATAAGGACATAGACCAACAAGAAACTTTAGTGACCTAAAAGCTTTGGAAACTTTCTCATATAAAATGACCTATTTTAACTATATAGTGCAAACTTTCCTTAGCCTACATTCAGTGCTGTTTGCTATGTACTTCATTTGGTTAATTAATATGAGTTATCTTTTTGAAGGCCTGCCAAACAGTGTATTTGACTCGATTTCAGGCTTTACTCTGGGCTATAATTTATGTTGACATTTCAGATAAACCAGGTATTAGGACATTAAGGATCAATCTATTTTGCTTACAGGTCAGTAATAATATGGGCATAGCATTTGTGGGAACATATAGAGTAGGCACTGTACAGAATACTTTATGTATACTATTTCATATGTTCTTACAACAGCACCATGATTTATTACCTCCAGCACTGATGAGGGGATTAACTGCTGTAATTTCCAGTTAGTAAAGGCTTGGTGCCTAATATGGCCCTATTGAGAGATAATAGAACCTTTAAAAAGTGGGGTCTATTGGGAAATCTTCATGCCTTGGTTTGAGGCATGTATATGAAGAGGGTCATTGGGACATCAGCCCCCGTCTCACCTGTCTGTCTTGGCTATCTGATGAGTGGTTTGGCTCCACCATGTGTCCCTATCATGACAGGCTTTCTTGCTGAAAGCCTGACAATGGCACCAACTAATCACAGACCACAGCCATGGAAACTAGGAGCCAAAATAAATCTTTCTTGTTATATTAATTCTCTTATATTTTTGTTAGAGCAATGGACAACTAACTTCCACAGTAACAAAGAATTTAAAACATGAATGTTTCATGTAGCATAAAAATTTCAGTTCTTAAAAGTATAGTTGTATCTGCCCATCTCCCTACAAAATTTCTCAACTGTGTTCTTTTTTAAGTCTAATACTGATACAACTAACTTGAAGCTTTACAAGGAAAATATTTTATAATATTGCCAAATTCAGCTGAATCAAAAAAGAATCTTCTGAGGTATTAACACTAATTATATTATCAGTGATCTATGATCTAAGGTCCATAGAGAATTTTTAGTACTGGGTTCTGACAAAACAAAATGAGAGACCGAGGAAGTTTACAATAGGTAGAACTCTGAAACTGATATGCAGACTAAAAATTTCTCTTATCCTGCTCCTCTGTATTTCCCTTCCTCCCTCCTTCCTTCTTTCTTACCACGTAGCCCAGACTGGCCTTGAACACACTAACCTGTGTCAGCCAAGTGGTAGGATTATATGCTGTGACACTACACCCAGTCTGTCTTTACACAAACATATAAACATATTCTTTACATAGACATTTTATGAAAAATAAAAATAGCTGTAAATGAAATACCAACAGACTAGAAACTGATTTTCTACTTAATAGACAAGGCTAATAATGGCCCACATTTTATTTTAAAACATTTTTTAAAATCAAAATATCTAAGAAATAAGCCATTTTTGTACATAAGCAAAGTTTCATACATTTTTGTTTAATCTTATAACTAGAATAGAAATATATGAAAACATGCTCATTATATCTACCATAGTCAATAAAATGCTTAGAGCAATTGTCAATTGTAATAACTAGGGAAATGACTGCTAACATGGATATTTTCAAGGAAAATACTTTCAGCTATAGCTGAATAATTAGAAATAAATGTACACAAATATTTACAGCAATTATTGTATAAGAAACAGAATATGAATAAATACATATTCTTTATTAATCAAAACATTACCTGTTCTCTGAAATAACAAACAGTGAAGGAATATAAAGATGTAGACAGTAAAGGCTCTCATGATTTTAATATTTACTTGGTGATGTATATACCTTTTGGTTTCATGTATACCATAGATAATTATTAAGTGAAAACCCAAAGACTAAAAATAGTGTAATTTTCATTTTCTTTTGCTGGTATTTTTCCATTCCTCTTTACCATTAAAATGTACTACTTTTTGAAATAATTTTTAAAGTTCAAATGTAAAAATCTGGCAACAGTGTGGAACCATCAGGAGGTAGAGAACAAATAAAATGCTTGGCACACAGGAAGTACTTAGTAGATGCTCCTTGAGTGAACACCTGGAATAGCAGGGAAAGGCTGGGTTTAAGGAAATCAATAGGAACATGCATGAAAGCGAAGGTGTGGGATTAAGAAAATATATTCCGTTAATGTACAACAGACTCAGATATACACTTGGGCTGCTTACAGACAGGGAAGTAACTAGGGTTAGAGGGCAGACACAGAGCCTTGGATGTCCACTTGCACTGCTTATAAGGTTAGGGAGCACATAAGGGAGTGTCAGAACAGACAGGGAGGTTAGTAGGTCTAGGGGCAGATATGATAGCCTCAGACGTCCACCTGGGCTCCTTACAAATAGGAAGATACCTAGAGTTTAGAAGGCAGATACTATAGTTTATAAAGGTGTTTAGAATAGATATTGAGACTAACACATTTTTAAAAATGCACTAAAAGTATAGGTTAACATAAATGAAACTTCAGCCTTAAAAATCAATGTACATAATTGATCTTAAAAATGCAATTAGAATGCTAATACAGGATAAAATATTTTTACAAAGATTATGAAAATAATCAATATTTATTCCTAGCCATTAAAAAAGGATGTCAAGAGTATTGAACTCTATGGTCTAAAGTTAAAACATTCTCAAGCTAACATATAGGGAAGGTTCTTGCAGGAAGATAAGAATAAAAAGGCTTTAGTCTGACTCAGTCTTAAATTTGAATTTTTACTTTGGGAAATTATCTAATTTCAATCAATAATAAAGTACAGTCACACATCATATAACAATAGGGTTTGCTCTGAAATACTGTTTAGGTAATGTGGTCATTGTGACCTAGAAGGTTCAGGGCTCACAGGTTATGAAACTATACAGCGTGGTAATGTATATAGTAAGATACACACTGTGTTATTTGTTTACTGAAATGTACTTTAGCCTGAAAGTGTACTGTAAAAATACTAGGCAACAGGTGTTTCAGCTCTATTATAATTTCATGAGATCACTGTCATCATATATAACTTGTTCTCAACCAAAACGACTAAAGAATATTTCTAAGGAATATATTTGGAATGGCTTTACAAAAATGGAAGCTACCATTTAGTTGTATGAAAGAAAGCAAATTTGTTAACTTCATGTTTTTAAATTATAAAAAAAATCACTTGAAATTGTAGTTCACTGAGGAGAAAAATATTGAGCACAGAAAATATAGGTAAGAAAAAACCAAGTTGAAGTTAAAGACTATGTAGTACATCACACTATACCATAGTAGTTTGATTTAAAGGAAAAAAAAAAACCAGCAGTTTTTAATTACTTACATTAATAGTTTCACATAGAGTCTTTGAGAGTGATCACAGAAGGTTTTAATTTTTAAGTATTTAAGTAGCAGTTAGTCTTAGGACTTAAAATTTATATTTTAACTATAACTAAAAGCTCCTTACTTCTTTTCTTGCTTTTATGGAGGCATCCTGAATAAGTTGGGAAATTGTTTTCTTCATTTTCTCTCTGTCATCTTCTTTTTGCTTCTCTTCAAGCAGAATCTTCAGAAGATAATCATGGCATGTTAAACATCACATTTCACTGGGAAGATAATATGTTCTTTGACAGCAGAGTCTTGTTCTAGATTTCTGGCATGCCTCCATTGGAAGATTGTGCACAAATCATGATAAGGACTCTCCCAGCATTGCCCACCTTTTCCTAATTAAATCTTTGCTATTTATTCCAGACAGTGTTTCCCAGCACTTTTCTCATCTCCACAACTGAAAGTCTCAGGGTCATTCTGAGCTTTTCTTCTTTTTATACACAAATAAAAATAAGTAAATCTTTAAAAAAAGAGGAAGAGGAAAATTAATCTAATAGCCATAGGCTACTTCTGAAGGATTTGTTGACTTAGGACTGAAATGAGACAGGCAATAGTGCCCTGTCTTCTCTCCACTATAAACCATACAATATCTGATAAGTATTTACACAAATGTGCTTTAGAGGATAAAGCCAAATAACTTTGTCCTGTTCTTAAATTATCTAGCTAATGGGTATTTAGAACAGTTTACAAACATAATATGTCTACTGTAGGTAGTATTCTACTTTTGGTGGTACAAAGGATAAAACCAAGGGCCTCACATGTGGTAGGCAAATATTCTGCCATTAAGCTGTATCCCAAGATCTACTGTAAACATTTTATTTATTCCAAGAGTAGAGAGACAGAATTTAAGTCATAGACAGGAGCACCAGGTGAAAGAAATAAGGACTTCAGCATTTCTGCACTTTGGACTTAAAGAAATAATTCTTTTCTTTTTTCCTGTCTCTCCTCTCTCTTCTTCTCCCTCTATCTCTGTAGGACCCACTGCCCTTAAGTTCATTATCCTCCTGCTCCACCTTCCCTGAGTACTGGGATTGCTGGCACGTGGCACTTCATTCAAGTTCCTTTATGCTAGGCTTGTAAAATCCAATTACCACTTTTTGCATTTTTAGTATCTCTCTTGAAAAAACTACCACTTCAAGTAAGAAACATAAATAATGCACTTCCTTTATACCCAGTGCATTTCCTACTGGAGTACTCTGCATATATCACTCAGTTCATAAATGCTGGTATACACATTAATGCTAGAATGAATTCTATAAAAAGGGGAGTAACATTTTTAAAAAGTATCTACTTTCTTCCATAGATTATAGTCATTTATAGGAACAGAGTAAGACAGAAAGCATGATCCAGAATATTATAGAAATCACGATGGTTAAGATGCTGAAAACAAAAGCATGAATTGAAGAATCCATCTAATCTTCTGAGCTACTAACTTTGTCAGTTAAGTTCTGTTTGAGGAAGTCACTGTACAGGTGAAAAGGAAGTCAACAAGACTGGAGTCATCTGATTGAGCACACTATGGTAAAGGACTATGACAATACAGTGGAAGAAGGGCAGTGACTCAGGTTGTGGGGACATAACAAGTCTGATATTTAAGTACTATTTCTGAAGAGTGACTAACATGTTAACTTATGATATTACTCTTACCATCTAAATACAGTATAATTATTTGATAAGGGGAAGTGTGGTACTTTGTTTTCATGAATTCATTCTGTAGTTGATGATCCCTTTACTATTAGAGCATGTGAGATCTTATTTGTTATAAACATGTTTGCATGTTTTGTTACCTGATTATTTTTAAGGTTAGCTTCTTCTAAGAGTTGCATGCTATCTCTGGCTCTTGAAATAGCCTCATATTTCTCATTTTCTGATTCATTGCACTTTGCTTGGAGATCTTTGATTTGCTTTTCCAAGTGTGTTTTCCCTGTTCTTAGTACGTTGGCTTCTTCAATTGCTATACATAATCTAGAAATTAATAACCACAATATGAAAGTTAAATATTTTAAAGGGAAGAAATGACACATGAGGTTTACTAAACATCACCATGTGGTATTATGCTTGTTATTTTTACATGTATTTCTCATTTAATCCTTGCTATAGTTCTATAAAAGTAGATTTTACAATTTCCATTTCAAAGAAAGCCATATCCACACTGCTTTAGCTTTTGATTAAGAATAATAAGAGCAGTAGATCTGAGACTGAGACAAGATATTTTGACTTTATATTTTGGTGTCTTTAATACTATGAAAGTTTCATAGATGGATAATATGTATCTTGGTCATATGGATTCCCCCATTGCCTCTCTCCAGCTCCACCTCTCCTTCCTCAACATGTTTTCCAACTACTCCCTTATTTCATGTCTACTGTTTTTATCTCCCACTAAGTACAATTTATGCTACCAATATGGGAATGTGTGTGAGATCATTTACTGGGATGTGGCAAATCTACCCACAACTACACCCAAAAGAAAAGTTAATCAGTGGTGATGCACACTTTTAATCCCAGCACTTGGGTGGCAGAGGCAGGCCATCTCTGTGAGTTCAAGACAAGCCTGGTATACAAGAGCTAATTCTAGGACAGGCTCCAAAGCTACACAGAAAAACCCTGTCTCGAAAAACTAAAACTAAAACCAAATCCAAAACCAACCAACCAAAAAATAATCTCCCTTTCTCTGCAGCCATTTAATGCCATTCACTCCTCTGCTATGGGAACTTTGAGGTACTAGCTCCTTTGGGTTGGAGTCTCAGGTGCTACAAGTAGCAGTTCGGATTGAATGGCAGCATCCAGCACCTAAGGGCAAAAGACCTCTACCTTGCTTTGTCATTTGTGAGAGATTCTCCAATAAATATCTGACTTCCCTCTATTGGGCTATTGTCGACTTTATCACAATTGTCCATTACACTCCTCAGTTAAGGATGAGGCACTAAGAGTCTCTCTCTGTTCCATGCTAGGGTTTTAAACTAGCTTGATCTTGCATAGGTCTTGGGCAGACGACTAGAGCAGCCATGAGTTCTCGTCATATCCAGAAGGTAATTGTTTATGGCACACTTTCTCATCCTCTGGCACTTATATTCTTTCTGTCCTATTTTCTGTGATATTATCTAAGTCTGGAAGTAGGGGTAGGGTAGGGATATATATATACATTTGTTCTACCTACTGCTGAGATTCTGAGAATAACTACATATTCCCAGGACTTTGAAGAGTTATAAGTCTGTGCAGTCCCTACTGCCTTCTGTAGTAAGAAGCGTCTCTTACCAAGGTTGAAAGTAGCACAAACCTGCTGGTATGTTTCTATATGTAACAGATCACAATCATTTATTTGACTTTCAGCCATAAATACAATGTGAATTCACAGGCTGTAAATATTAATCTTTTATAGGTTACTAACGACAACTTTCAAGCCCCTCAATGGAACATTACAGATCTAGACAGAACAACAAAAACAAAATATTCTAGTATGTTTGTAGTAAAATAGCAATTTAAGACAGAGCTATAGGATATATTTTAAAAAGAAGCTCAGCTCTTCAAAGATAATTTAAAAAGTTATTGCTAAAAGAAAAAACTCAAGGGAAATTATCTATATTTTATCAAGTATTTTTTCCTTGTATAATTTTATTCAACTTCATTATTCTTTTATTTTCTGCCTTAAAATGAAAAGAAAATATGATTCTGAAATTAACAATGGCTATGCTGCCTTGGGGAAAGATAAAGGCAGTAAATAACTTCCTTGTATATGAAAATGATGCTTCACAGTTTCCTGAATTATTCAATATGTGCTTTATATTGTGTACCTTATGATTTTATTAGCTGAAGTTCATGTTTTGGACAGGACCTGCTGTGTATCCAAGACTGGCCTTGAACTCATTACCTCTTGTGTTAGTTTCCTGCTGTCTATACTGTCTCCTGTTCACCTCTTTCTGACAAGGATCTGCATTTGACTTCCTGAAGAAGCATCTGCATTTTCCTCCACCAACCAAACATCCCAGGATGTCATTAAACAGCACCTGAAACCTGCCTAATGCTCTTATCACTGCATTCATAAAAGGTCTTCACTTATGATTTTCTTGTTTTTGACTACATAAGTTTATGTAACCACTTACATTTTGGAAGATGTTATCTAGAATAATCTGAATGTGTTCTCAGGCCATGGACACTCATGTTTAGCTTAGAACAGACTCACTCTTATTCCTTGATATGACAGCTATGATTTAGGTTAGCAATTAAAGTGCTTAGTTCATAAGAAAATGTTTCATTGGTAATATGTTAAAGGTTTTATTACCCAGAGAATATTAGACAGCTATTGCATGATTTGAAGAGTCTACCTACCCATTGCTGATAACTATTTGTATTTGTTCTCCATTTCAGATCTTTGGTGTACTAGTGGTACATTACACCTGTTGTACCTGGCTTTTGTTATTCCCTTATGTTGACAATGCTGGACTTTGAGCTCTATGCTCCCAGAGCATAAGTAGAGACCTAAGTAGTGCCTCCATATTTATTCTAAAATACTTCTCTTTTTCTAGAAAAGGGCAAACACTGTGCTCACATATGCTAAGATCCTGTCTGATGTCTCCTGTAAAACAACATATTCCTCATTTGTTTTTCTGCCTGTGTGAAATCTCTTCTTAATTTTTAAAAAGAATTCCCCATTATGAACATACTCACTACTGCAAAGCCTGATTTGTCTGGTCTTTACAGTGCTAGAGAGCCCTAAACTACCCAATCAAATCTTGGATGAAAAACAATTATGATTTTATTTTTTAAATTATGTGTCTATGTATATATCTGTGTGTGGTTATGTGATGTGTGTATGGGTGACCACAGCTAGAAGATGGCATTGGATCTCCTGTAGTTGGAGTTACAAGTGGTTCTGAGCTGTCCAATGTGGGTGCTGGGATTAAATTTGGATCCTCTGTAAGAGAAACAAGAGCTCTTAACTGCTTAGTCATACTTCTAGCCTCAGACAGAAAATGTTATGTTTAGATCATTTCACATTACTGCCCTTAAAGACAGCATGTTCTCTTTTTCTAAGTGTATACAATGAGTATTCATGAATATTGAACAAACGGTTTCACCTGTGAACATAGAAGTTGCTTTATTTTTTCCCCCTCAGGGTCCAGGAGATGGCTCAGTGGTTAAGAGCACTGGCTGCTCATGAAGAGGGGTGGGTTTGATTTCTAGAACCTATGTAGTGGCTCAAAACTGTAACTCCAGTCCAAGGGGATCGATCCCACACTCTCTGTGGCCTCTGTGGGCCCCATGCAGGAAAGCAGTACACAGACACATGTAGGCATAACACCCAAACATACAAATTTTTTTCTCCAAATAATGCATGAAAATTATACCTAGTCTCCCTCGGATTTATTTTAATTCTTTCATAGATCTCTCAGCATTATTCCTGTTCCATAGGCATAGTAATAAGAGTTCCAAAACACCTTATACATACTTCCTGAAGCCATCCAAAACATAACTACCAAAGTCAAAACTGCTTACCATTTCTCTTTTTCTTTCTTTGTAATATAATCACTATTAATTCCTTTAGGGACCATATTTATTTTCTTCTGCTAATTTAGGTATTCTAAACCTTAAATGGCAAAATTCTTAGCATAAACAGTGTATTTACAGTTAGGAGGGACAAACAATTATTGTCAATTTTATTATCATGAATATGTATGTCAATAGTAAAATTTTATTAAACAAAAATTATTCATTTTACAAGTACAATTAGCAAAGTTCTGAGAACACACACACACACACACACACACACACACACAAGCACATTTCTATCTCACACCATTCTTAAGTTGGGCCATTAAAATCTTTAAAGGAGTGTTATGATAAAAATATGAACTATCAGGGTCTGGGAATAGGCTCTGTCAGTAAAAGTACTTTCTAAGTAACCATGAGAACTTGTGTTTGATCCATACATAAAAGAACCTTAGCACTATGAAGGCAAGGACAGAAGGAACCCTGGTGTTTATCAGCTAGCCAGGGTAGCCACATATGGGAGCTCCAGGGTGTATGGGAGACTTTGCCTGAAAAAAATAAGATAGAGAACAACAGAGGAAGACACCTGATGTTGAACTTTGACCTCCACAAATATGTGCTCATGTGTGTACATGTACCTAATATCATTAATTTTATTTGCTAAAATAAAATTTCAGCCATGATTTAAATAGCTTAAGTATTAAAGTAAGGATATATCACTAGACCAGGAATACAAACTGATATCTAAAATAAGACATAATTTTAGAACTGGTATCATGTTAAAAACTACTGAGTTTTCAAAAGGAAAAATATATTCTTCCTGCTTAAATAAAGTGTTTTTTTTTTTTCTTTTGTTTGTTTCTTTTTCTAGACAGGGTTTCTCCATGCAGCATTGGAACTTGGAACTTACTATGTAGACCAGGCTGGCCTCTGCCTGGAGTGCTGGGATTAAAGGCATGTGCTACCACCTCCCGACCCTATTTAAGTAGAGTTTACAACCTAATTTTCAAGCTATGTTGCTCAATTGGCACAAGGAAAAGGAATTAAGTGAAAAGAACTAGGACCATTTTGATATGCTGTTGTTCTATAATTCAGTAGTCTGTAGAACAAGAAGCAAGAGGGTATTGACATTTGAAATCTGTGGGGGTTACAATGATAAGAGGAACAGCTAGAATTTAGTGGTTGGTGCCTGAGATACTAGGCATCTCATTCCCTCACAAAAGGTGAATGGTATTGTTGTTATTTACTCTTATACTATTTGGGGGCCTGCTACCCAGATCCCAAATAAACACACGGTGTCTTATTATTACTTATAAATGTCTGCTTTAGCTTGGCTTGTTTCTAGCTAGCTTTTCTTAAATTATCCTATCTTTTGCCTTTGGACTTTTACCTTTCTTTACTTCTTACTCCATGGCTTGCTGTGTAGCTAGGCGGCTGGCTCCTGGAGTCCTCTCCTCCCTTTCTTGCTCCTTGATCCTCTCTTCCCAGATATCTCTTCTTATTTATTCTCTCTGCCTGCCAGCCCTCTCTATCTATTGGCAGTTCAGCTCTTTATTAGATCAATCACATGTTTTAGACAGGCAAAGTAACACAGTTTCACAGAGTTAAACAAATGCAACATAAAAGAATTCAACACATTTGTTCATTATTAAATATTTCACAGCATAAATAAGTGGAATACATCTTAAAATAATATTTCACAACAGTATTGTCAAAAAATACTACACTATTTTATAATGGTTATGAGGGAGAGATCAGTGACTGCAAAATGGATGAGAAGGGCAACTGGAGGAGTTAAGAGTTCCCAAGACTAATAAGTCTGGAAAGACTGGTACACTGGTAGCTTGACATCTGGGGAACAATGAAGGATCAATCTGCAACTTATAGGGCTTTCCTGTCACATTAAACCTAAGAAGCAAGAACAATCTACAGCATTCAGCTCTTAGAGATAATTCTTCTTGCAAGGTTTATGGCCTGAGAACATTACTGAATAGTTAACATTTTCATTGCCTTCTGTTCCAATGGTTATTTAGACCTTAAATGTATTATTTGTTAAAACACAGAATTATGGAGAATTTGGGGGAAGTTTCAAATTTCCTCAGATAGAGTTAGAAATTTTTAACATTTTCCCCCCGGACTTTCTGTTTCTAAAAATAACTAGAAATACTTCAAAATCTGTAAGCTTACATCAAGAAGACTGAAAATGAAGAGGTCTTTGGTGATATAGTATTCTAATAGAGGTCACAATGGAAACCAAGTTAGGAGACAAAATATTTTTCCTCACAAATTCAAGCCCCTGGTGCCAGGAAAAAAGCTTATCTATCTTCTTTCGAAGAAACTTAGAGCTAAATCTACTCATTCCTAACTTCTGGATTTAATTCCAACTTGTCTAAATTGCAGTACTGTTAGGTAAGGCAGAGATAGACTGGGGATTTCTCCCAGGTTTGGACATATTATACATACATAATTGCATGTATATCTTTCCATTTACATATTTTTTTTCTTATTGTGGGTGAGTGCTCAGACCAGAGTCAGGTTTTATAGATGGCAGCACTAGCAACGATACTAATCTAAAAGCCACGGTAACCAAGAGTTTATTTCTTTTCAAAAAAGTTTGTTTTCTTTCAAAATTGTGACATGAATCAATGCATGAATATATTACATGAATTTTTGGTTTTGGTTTTTCAATACAGGGTTTCTCTGTATTGCTTTGGAGTCTGTCCTGGAACTAACTCTGTAGACCAGGCTGGTCTCAAACTCATAGAGATCCGCTTGCCTTTGCCTCCTGAGTGTTTTTTTTTTTTTTTTTTTTTTTTTCCTTTTTTCTTTCTTTTTTTTTTCATTTTGATAGCACAGAGACACAGTTAGAAGCATTACCTTGACTCTAACTGTTTTATACTGGACTGTAACTGCTGTACTCGTCTATCCGATGCTTCCTCTTTTCCCTGGGCAGAGATAATATCTTCCTCCTAGAAAGTAAAGACCCAAAGCTACTTGAAGCATCTCATACTATAATACACAAGCACCATTTTACATCATGATGAACGCAGCAGACTACATAGTTATGTTACTAGAATTCTAATATGTAGAGATATATTTTGTTAAGTAAACACATATAGTACAAAGAGTTTGGGGACAAACTTCATCACTACCATATTAGACAATCAAAAGAGTACTGCAAATACATTTCTGGCAATGTTTCACAATGTTTCCATTGCACATCCAGCAAAACAAGGCAAAGGTTCCTGTGTGGCCATTCTGCTGTTATGCTTTTACCTATTTCCCATGATCTATTGAATAACACAGGGCATTTCCTGACAGAGAGATACTTTGCACTATCAATAGGTTTTATTTAAGTTATTTTCTAGAAAAGCTTCTTGCCTATCCTTGTTTGCCTTCCTTTACAGTTATCTTTGAAAAAGTCTCCCCCCTCCCCCCCCAGGCAGGGTCCTCCTATGTAGCATGGCTAGTCTAGAACTCACTGTATAGACCAGGCAGACCTTCAGTTTGGGGCAATCTTCCTGTTTCTGTTTCCTATGTACTGGGATTACAGGTGCGCTCTACCATGTCTGGCTTAAGGGAATCTTTTTATAAAAAAAATTTCCAGCATATTTAGAGATACTATTTTGAATTTACCACATGTTGTGATTTATTTCCTTTTCTGAGTTGTTACCTAGTACCATTTCCTTTGGCCTCACAAACATCTCTGGGGGAAATAGCAGAAGCAGGCATGGAGGTACATGTGGGTAATCCCAGCCTTTGGAGTTTCCAGATGGAGTGAGACACTGAGCAGCCTGAACTTCAAGAGATTCTACACCAAGAAACCACACCAACCAAGCAATAAAAAAAAAAAAAAAAAAAAACAAAAAAACCTCTTTCTGAATGTTCTGAAATCCATTCTTCTGGGCACAAATTCTGCTTATTTGGAATGTCTTGCTTTCATTTTAAAACACAGCTTTCCTGGATAAAGAACCCATTGAGAGCTGTTCTCTCTTTCAGCACATTCCACACACTGGAAATGTTTTCTGCCTTCATAGCTTCTCATGGGAGAACGCAGCCATGATTCTTACCAACCTTCCTTTGTCCAGGTCACCTGTGTCTGCTATAAATAAATGTCTTTTTATTAAGACTGTATATCAGTGTCATCATGTTTCCATAAAGATGGTTTTGTTTGTTTGTCCTCTTTAGGGGTCATTAATATTCCTGCTAATGTTTTCTCCTAGCTTCAGGTTGTTTTCTGCCCTTGTTCCACTTTCCTGGAGCTCCAATTGCCCCTATATTGGAATGGTTCATATTATCCCACAAAACACTTAAATATTTGAAACTGGTTCTTAGACAAGGGAATTTCTAATGTTCTCTGTTGAACTTCCTTGCTTATCCTGACCTTTTGAATCTATTTTTGGGCCTATCTAGTGAACTTTTTCCCCCCAATTACTATAAAAGCTCTAGAATTTTTATTTTAAAATTGTTTTCTTGTTCTCAATCAAATTCTCTACCTTTTCCTTCATGTAGACTTTATTTTACTCTAGTTTTTTTTTTTAAACCAACAATAAACAATTCCTTGAGCAGTCTTCTTTTTTTTGAGACAGGACTTTATACAGTAGTACAGGTTGTGTAGCCAAGGATGATCCTGAACTTCCCATTTTCCTGCCTCTACTTCCCAAGTGCTGGGGTAAAAGATGTGCATTGCTATGGCCTCACTGAATCTTCCTTCCTTCCTTTCTTTCTTCCTTTCTTCCTTCCTTCCTTCCTTCCTTCCTCCCTCCCCCCCCCCTCTCTTTTGTAATGCTGTGTGGAGACTGGAGACTGACTCTAGCGGTTGCTCACTATTTAGTTACCTTTCTTGGTGCTGTGACAAAAATCCCTGACAAAAATATTCAAAAAAGGAAGGAAGGGTTTGCTTCAGTTTTTGTTTGTGGTTCTAAGTTCTTCATAGCAGGGATGATATGGAGGCAAGACCATGAAGTAGTTAGTCATATTTCATCCTTAGTCAAGAAGCAGAGAGAAATAAATTCTGGTGCTCACCTCACTTTCTCCTCCTTATTCAGGGATTTAGCCCATGGGATAATGCTGTCCACATTTACAGGGGGTCTTCTCATCTCTATTAATCCAACCTAGAAATTCCCTCAGACATCAAAATTGTTTTTTTTTCCCCCAATGGGATTCTAAATCCAGTCATGTTGAGAAGATTGAGCATTGCACCCAATGATAGGCAAACAAATCACTGACTCCAACCCACCTTAAATGTAAATGTAACAATCAATTCTGAATGCTCTGTCTTCAACATTAAACAACCAGGTCCACCAAGAGAAAACATAGATTATACTTTCCTGTCTAGTAATTTTTGATTGAAAATTGGCTATTCTCAACAATATACTGAGGACTGATATTATGGACTACGGTGAGGTGTTATTCAAGTGGGAAACATTTTTGCTTATTATGTGATCTCTGAAATTTGTTCCACAGTGTACAGCAGCTGGTATCTATGACTAGCTCTTGCTGATTTCCACTTTAGTTTTTATATAGGCAGGTCCTATGGAATGTCCCCAACATACACAACCTGATGGGGCAGAGGTAGGGTTTACTTTCTCTGTGATTTCCTTGTTATTAGAAATTTACTTCTTGTAATTTCCAACTTGGGAGTTTGTCCTCTTATACTTTAAATAAGAAGATAATCTTCTCAGGCTCAATTTACACGTACTTCTAGAATGTACTTGACCAATGTCCCTCTACCTTACTAGAGTGACCTTTCTCAGGTTTCAGTCTGCTCTTGACTCTCCATATGTGAAACCTGGCTACCAGGCATAGGGTTAATAAGAATATGAACTGAGAGGAATTGTTACTTTTTCTTTTGGTCCTCTTGTGGTCAGCATGTCCTAAAATGGCCACTGGCTTTTGTAGGCCTAAACTTTGATTTTGAGTGCTTAAGCCATTATAAAGCTATTTTTTGAAGCCAAAGGTGTGGGAAGTAAAATGGCAGAACCATCAGGTCGGAAATCTAAAACTCTAAAACCTAAGAATTCTTATTTCATTTGTTCCTATTTTAGAATGTTTTCCATGCTAAAAAAAAATTATTTGTGGGAGAGCTCTTATATCTCTCCATACTACTCTATCACTATAGGAAATCTATATCAGGAAATAAGGCTTAGATAGTAATATGGCTAGTAACTCACAGAACTAGAATTTTTAGTAATAATATCCATTTAAATCTAAAGCCTGACATTTCCTCAGTATCTTTCTAAAAGTTCCCTATAACTTAGGGAAAGAATCAGCCTATTACGATAATAAAACTTTAGTATTAGATTTTATTTTATTTTCCATCTGAATAGAAGTTAAGTGAAACTTGCCTGTAAACTGTTTATGCTATGTTTTAATTCACTTTGCTAAACTCAATGGAAATAGTCTTAACTAAATTATTGCCAATGCTATACCTTCTTCAGCATCTGTTCTTGAAGACCTTCAGTCACTTTAGTTAACTCTTCCACTTTCGTTACTGCAACTCTCAGATCTAACTTGGCTTGCCTGAGGAAGAAAGTAAATTCATGTGTTATGTTAGAGACCATAAAGAATGGAAAGTTAAAAATCTAAATTTAGTAAAATCATTACTAATGTTTATGTAACTAAAAATGCATCTCAAGGGTAAATTCTGAATAATTTCCTTATTGCTAATAAAATACATGTAAAAGTAGGTAAGAAAATATAGCTAATTATAGAGGAGTATAAAAAGGATTATTTTATTTGGACAAATTACATTCAATATACAAACAATCCTGTGTATTTAATGAAGAAAAATTTGATCAACTTTAAACAAGAATTTCAATATAGTAAGAATTAATTATGCTTTACTTTCTTCAATTTATCTAATTAAAAAATATTGCTGATTGGCCTCTGTGACAATGAACTTAAAGCTTGAAAATCTATCAGTCCCTTGAGCAAAGATTATAAAACTGGGTAAAACCTAAATACTCATAGCAACTTGGTTTTCTTACCTTCAGAAAGATTATAATACTGCTTTTTCTATTTGTTTCATGGGTTGCTGAACAAGTGAAAGTAAGGTACATTAAAAGTGTCCAATAAGCTTGAAAGCATCTGTTGGGAGAATCTCAGTGTGCTGAGTTCAGTGCTACTAGTGATGAAATCCACCTGACCAACTGCTCTGAGAACAAAAATTCTCTTATTAATAGATCTTTTCCTTATTTTGATTTTAAGTAATCAGTCAGCTTCTAAATTGTTTGTCAAATTCATATTCCTCATTGTTTTTATTGTCCAACATTTATCACTATTATTACTTCCAAGGACTGATTTCCCCAATCCCTCTTTCTTTCTTTCTTTCTTTCTTTCTTTCTTTCTTTCTTTCTTTCTTTCTCTTCCATCCATCCTTCCTTCCTTCCTTCCTTCCTTTCTCTTCCTTCCTTCCTTCCTTCTTTTCACTCCCACCCTCCCTCCCACCCACCCTCTCTCCCTCCCTCCCTCCCTTCTGGCCTGAACAATAAGCCTCTGGTTTCTGTTCCCTAACCCCAAGTGTTGAGATCATAGCCAGGTGCCACCAGGCCCAGCTTCAGGCTTAAAATTTTACCTTAACATTTATTTCTAGGTTTCTCAGACAAAATGGAAAGTTTTATTCTCATTTTTTTTTGAATAAAATTCTATACTGCTTTATAAGGGTAAAAGGTCAATATTGTCAGCCCCAAAGTCTCATCTCCTGCCAGTTCCAGTTCCTCCCATGCATTGTTTAACACAGACCATATATATATATATCTCACATGTGTTCCATGAGCACACTCTTGATTTTTCCATTTTTATTGTACAAGTCTCTCCCTGTTTTCCTAACATTTACCTAATTAAAGTTTCCACTTGTCAAGTCCTCATTGGTTTTAATCTACATAATATCCCAAGCTGCAATCATTATATTACTTAATTCCTTGCACATTAACAGATCACACTGCATTACAATGAAAACTATATGGATTCTTTCTTGTGGTATTACGGTTTCATAGAAGAGGGATACAACACGAAGGCAGCTATTAATTTTAACCTCTTTGGAGACAAGTAAGAGCACAATAAATGAGTATAAAGGAGAAGATGAAAACATCAGCTATTAGCACTACTTCACCTTCATGTTTTACTCTTTCAATGTTCTTGTATGGACAATCCTGGAGTAGTGATTTGTGGAAGCCTTAAGAACACACACACACACACACACACACTTTCTTTAAAGCAGATCTACTACTAGTATAGAAGTATTGTACATCTCCTATTAGGTTGGACAGGCTGGCCAGTGAGCCATGGTTCCACCAGTCTCTATCTTCCTAGCACTGGGATCATGAGCATGTAGCACCCTGCCTAGCACTTATAAGGCTTTCAGAGATTGAACTCAGGTTGTTCTCATGCTTGCATGGGAAGTCTTTACTAACTGGGCAATCTTCTTAGCCTCATAAAATAAGAGAAATAATTTTCCACCCAGAATCAGAGTATCTGCTATTGAAAAATATAATGTTTAGCTAGGTAAGGTGGTACATGCACATAATCCCAGCACACAGGACGCTGAGACTGGAAGATAACAAATTTTGTGCCAGCATGGACTACTGTAGTGAGGTAGTCCTTCTGTAGCACTGACCACGCCCATTGGGGGGTGGAGCTATGGGCGGAGGTGACCTGAGGAAGGAGGTCGGAGGGGGCCAGGAAGGCGCTCTCTTTCTGGCGTGACTCGGACAGGAGAGGATCGGGTTGAATTTCCTGGTGTTCATCTGTCTAGGTTGTAAGTTATTTCTCCCTGAATAAACATCTATTCGGCCTATTTGTTTATCCTGACCCTTATTTACCGCAATAGACTACTTAATGAGTTTTAGGTCAACTTGGAACTACAGAGCAAGACCTTGGCAAAACAAAACAATAAGAAACCCAAATAAACCTTTGACCTAATAACTCAAATTTTGAGGACAACAAAGCAGATCAAAGCTAAATATATGTATTTGGGAAACATTATTATTGACATTAATGAACTTAGGGTAGATGTAAGGAAAGGAAAGGACTGAGTAAAAGGAATAGAAATTTAAGAAATACCTATTTTCAGTGGGTCTGGTGGAGGAAATCAGTAAGACAAAGGAAGCCGAGAAGGCGCCCCAAAGGTCAGAGAAGAAAATCAGAAACAAATATAAAATAGAAGAGGAAACTCCCTAGTAAGTAAATTAGTGAGATTCATCAAGGCAATTTCAGAGGATGGAAAAGGAAAAATACAACCTGAGCAACCGTCAGCAAGTTCTGACATAGGAGGATTCAAAAAAAAAAAAAACCTGCAAAAGAGAACTAACCCTTAAGCATACAAAGCATACAAGACACAGTTATAGAAATGATGAGAAGCTACTTTCCTACCTAGACAGACTGGATGCTAAAGGAGAAAGGATGTTCTCTATATAGTGTTAGACCCCATTGCATACTGGGGAGGAAGGCATTTTTTGCTCTTCTAGAGATGAGGAAACTGAACTTCATGCACCTAGCAACCTGTCAAACCCTTCATCAATAAACAGCTGCTAGTCTGAATGTATCCGTTCTCTCACAACCCATATGCTAAAATGCTGTGAAAGTACAACACTCAGATAACCTCATGTGATGGTATTAGGAGGTGGGATATTTTGGGAGGTGATGATATTATGATTGTGGAGACATCAAAAAATGGGATCAGCAGCCTTATTAAGAGGCATGAGGGGGACTGCTTGCCTTTTCCACTTATAAGAAGACTCATCAAGAAGGTGCAGTTTATAAACCAGAGTCCTCGCTGGACATGGACCCTGCTGGTGTCTTGATCTTGACCTTGCCATCCTCTTGAACACTAAAGAAATAACTTTCCAACCTATTTTACTTTACAGTATTTTGTTAAACAGCTAAACGGACTACAGCAGCGCAGGGCCGGAATGTAAAGGTAGGGCTGAGCACGCAGTCTTTGCTTCTCACACAACATATCATATCAAAGCACAACCTAAAAAGGTGCAAAAATGCAGAATATTTGCCAAAGACAGTTATAAATATCAGTAAAAAAATTTTAAATAAATAGTTTTGTTTTACCTTTTACCAACTCCTGAAACAAGAAATCTTTTTATTAAATAGTTGCTGCTAAGGTCTACTCATGACCCATGTGCTCTATAAGTAAAATGGGGTTATTCTTTGTTCTTCAAAGAGTAAGAAAAACAAAATTTTAAAAATAACATATAATCATCCCTTAGATAACATTAAGGTTAAACCTTGTGAAGAGAGAAAAATGTCAGGAAAGCCCTATTCTCATCCTAGAACCTGTTTTGGTTTTCTATGCTCAGAAAGCTAGCTGCCAACACATAAGGAACTGTCTGGCAATTCTATGACTAAGCACATCTGTTCAAGGCTGTTTCTCACATGGGAAAGATTCCAAGAGACACCATGAATCAAAACTAGTGGTACATGGATTCCAGATTTCCACAGCATTTTATAATAGAAGACACAATATTATTCAATTTGAAGCATGAAACATCTGAGAAAAATCTGTTATCTCAGTTAAAATAAAACCATTACCTGGCAAAAGTACATTTTAAAAATAAGCAGTATTTAAGTTACTGGCACATACTTTTGGAGGAAAAAAGCATTCATTTGTAAAAATGTCTTGAACACAATGAATATACATAAACTCCAATTTACATAATTTATCTTTCACATTCTATATGATAGCATGAGATCAAGAACTGCATTTGTATTACACCAGTTTTTATGTTCTTCAATAAAACCATTACTTATAAATAATTTCATGATCAGTTTTAAACTGTCTTGGATTTTACTTAAATACAGAACTAAACATTTACCTTTATCACTTATTGAAGTTTTGAGATAATTGGTAATAAAATAGACATAAAGGGAAATATATCTTAAAGGCTGGATCTATAATAGAAAACACAGAAAGTCTTCTAATATGAATGGTACAATGCTTCTACTTACTATTAAAATGATTGATCAGGTGTGCTCATTTGGAAATCACATTACTAAGTAGTCACCCATTCCTGAATAGCTGAACAAAGAGATAGCACAAAAATTTTCTGAATAATGAAAGCCTAAGAAAGCAGTTGTGCCTCTGAAGGGACATGAAGAGAAAAACCATATAAATAGATTGGTGTATTTTATCCTCTCAATAAAGGACAATTTACTTAATTTGATAATCATTCAAAATACTTTCTTATCATCTTTCATGAACTCTACAGGTTAGGGAAATGAAAATGTACAAAGTTACATATAATAAAGTGTTAATACTGTAAGAGACTAGCATTCTGTCTACAATTTGTACTATAGAAGAAGCACATTGGGCTGTGAATGAGAAAAAAGGATTTAGAAAAGGTTATCTAAAATTGTGACACTTGAACTGAACTTTTAAACTTGGGAGGACATTAGTTAAAGGAAGGAATTTTAGACAATCTGAACAATTAGAGCAAAACAAGCTACAACATGGCTTGTTCGGAAAAGTGAAAACAGTTCAGAAAGCTTAAGTGAGAAGTGGCCTGGGGACA